GGGTGTGCGTTTGTTTGTTTGTGTTTGTTTAATGGAACACCGACACATTACCCGATTGTACATAATCAAAAATCAACATTTGGATGATATTTCATCATATGATAGTTCAGACTCGCTTTTTGAACAAACGCTTGTCCACATTCCTTGCAAATTTTACGTTTTTCACCAGTATGTATCATTTCGTGTAATTTTAAATGACTTCTCCTTGCGAATGATTTCTTGCAATAACTACAATGATGATCTCTTTCTGTTTTATGTGTGAACTTATGTTTATTTAAACTTTCAGTACTGAATGTTTCGAATTCACAAGAATCACATTTTCGTTTCACACCTAACATATGGAAAGATTGCTTATGATGATGTAATTGTCCCGACGTGTTAAACACGCTATTACATGCTTTGCATTTATATCTTACATCGATGTTATGTACTTCTAATTTATGTATTGTACGTTGTGCTTGTGTAAAAAATCGTGAATCACATAATTGACATTTATGAAAAGGTATTTTATAGTGTTTAGTTTGAATATGGTAACTTAGATATCGCATTTTGTAACGTTTATCGCAATGCCCGCAGAGGTAAGCGTCGCCATCTTTCTTATAATCTTCAGATTGCACTCGGAATTTTAACTTGTCGCCGTCTGGAGATAGAAAAATATCTTTTGAGTCTATGGAACTTTGCGTCTATGGTTTCCGTTTGTCTATTGCTGGAGTAATTTTTTTTGTCTTTTGTGTGGTCTACTTTTGTACAATAGGAACTCGATAAGTTAAAGTCCAAGGGTCACACAAAATATTTTAAGTTATAAAGGGTCTATGTTAGGGATAGGTTAATATAGAGGTGGGTATGTCCAAATATATGTATACCCTTGTTCCTTTTTTTTACTTGAATGCGTCAGAAGGATTGGTAGATACTAAAATTTTAATAATCATTATCATTATGTCATTTTCTTTGGTTTTATAGTTTATCTAAATAATTTAGATTAGTTTGACAATTCATTTCAAATTTAGTAGGGATGGGTTGTGTAAAATCAGTCATGAATCTTATCGATATTCGATTTTTATTCTTACAGAAGTTGGAATCGAAAGATTTATAGTTAAACTTATTATTTACTCAAATTAATAATGACCATAACAAATAATGAGAGTAAATAAATGTTTATTACTACTACAGCAGTACGTAATCAAATTGGATTTTGCTATTATTTCTGTCATCGATAAATTCTCTACACTATAACCAATACTAGAATTGTCCTCTAAATTAGTGAATAAGAAAATAATAATTTTAGTTGAGTTTGATAATTATTTAAACCGAATATCGATAGTTCATAATTGTTCGCTGCGTGTTTCGTCACTACGATACCTGTCTATTAAGTATGGCATTTGCCTTCATACAAATTGAATTCGATACCATATGCGTCATTTATCAAACGAATCTATTCGATTTGATTTTTAATGGCAAATAGAGGAGAGAATACATTATCTTTTATGTTGGTACATTGTTCTATAAATGATCAGCAATAAATACCGAAACCTTTTGTTTTGCACTCGTTCAAAATGATTCTTAACGGAAGGATAACAGATTTGTGGAGTTAGAGGACCTCAATAGCTATAGTTTAAGCGCAAAGTATGCTGACCGTTTTTCCGTAGTTTTGAAGTGATTTAATTTTTTGTAAAAAAAAAATCGGAAAAATCAGATTTCCGACTAGATTACCGGTACATCAAAAATAATGTGTTTACTGTGGTAGTTTTTTAACAAGCCAAATAATTGGGTTTTCGTACAGTTATCCCTTTTTTTGGAATGTCACAAAAGAACTAAATAAAAAAACTCAGAAAAAAATTTTAAGACTAAATTTTTTACAATAAATCACAAGAGAACTAAATAAAAAAAACTTTAAAAATTCTCTCAAAACTAAATTTCTTTCTGTAGCTTTGAATTATGTACTTTATCCAACATTAGCTGTTGCTCGCGAATTCGCTCGCGTGAAATTTAATAATTATTAAAAATAAGCCTATGTTACAGTTAAATTACCTTTCTAATTTAGAAAGAATTTTTAAAATCGGTCCAGTAGTTTTTACGTGAATCGAAAAAATACGAATCTTTCCTCTTTATAAAACAGTAGAACCTCGATAAGTTAAAGTCCAAGGGAAACACAAAACATTTTAAGTTATGTCTGTTATTTTTTTTTTATAATATAAGGTGGCAAACGAGCAAGTGGCCACTTGAATCCACCGAAACGGAAAGCGACCGCTGCACATAAACATCCGCAATTGCAGCGTTGCCTACCCTTCATTGACGGAGTAAGAGACGCACATAAAGAAGACATTTCCCCTTCCTATGCGTCTCCTCCAACGTCAAATCCACTTTTCCTTCCCATTCCTTTCTTTTAAAGGGTGGAAAGGAAAAGGGACTAAAATTAGGCCTCCGGGACCACACTCATCAGACTGTACGCCACTTGACGCCTGTTTTCTGTGTGGTCGTGGTATTACTGGGGGCGAGCCGGCCCTGCAGTGCGAAGATGTTAAAGCGGGCTCTATCTCTGTTATAGGGGTTTTATGCTCTGATGGGAAGGGAGCATATTATTTTTCGAAGTTATAGAGGTTTTTAAGTTACCGAGGTTTGAGTTATCGAGCTTCTACTGTATTAGTATAGACAGGAATTGTGAAACAAAAAAAAAAGATATTTATTCACATATTTCACACGTTTATCCGAGAAATTACAAGAATCTGATAGGACAGGCCCTTATTATACTAGCTATCGCAAGCGTCTACGTCCGCGTGGATTGAAAAAAAACACAAAAGTGAGCAGCATGTGTTCTTCCAGACTATCCTCTATATATATAGCATCCTATGTATACTTTATTTTACATCTGTCCAAATTTCAATAAGATATGTTGAACCGTTGCAGAATGATCGAGTAAACATTAAAAAACTAAATTAATGAATCCCACGGGAACTGTAACTATTCCCGGATAAAAAGTAGCCTATGTGTTCTTCCAGACTATCCTCTACGTCTATACCAAATTTCATTGAAATCCGTTCAGCAGTTTAGGCTACAAACTCTAACAAACATCCATTTAAACTTTCGCATTTATAATATTAGTTAGATTGCTGTTGGCTTAAGAAGGTTGATAGGTTTTCTTGCTTTTTTTACATAATAAAAAATAGTAAGATATCAAATTTTATTTAAATTCCATAGATCGCATTTCTGACTACTATAGAACCTATATACAACCTTGCGCTCGTGACTATCCTCGTTGAATTAAAAAAAAAAATATTTTTTTATATGTACTCCACATCTATGACAAAAATCAGTTTACCGTTCAGCAGTATAGGTTTACTAACAAACATCCAAACATTTATAAGATTATGAATGTATTTTATTTAAAACTAGCTGTTCCCGTGCGACTTCATCCGCATGAAATTATGAAAATTTTGTTTTATTGTTTATTATACATTTGTCAAATTATCAATTTCAAATATCAAAATGACATGACAGAATGACAATCTTGCATCCTTGATGTTGGCAGCAACTTATGGTCTCTTTCCCACATTAGGGTTTTTATCCAAAATATTTACCACCTAAGTTTAATGGCGTGAAAATATATAGCTTAAAGTGTGACGTAAGTGTAGGGCTTTTTATTAAAAGAATAATTATACAACAACATGCTGTGATTTCTGACATTTTAGGCAACTATGAAGTGTGTGTTTACGCTTTATTATAATAGTATAGATGATTTTGTTAGTAAGAAAAAGTTACCTTGGTCTTCTGAAGCATCTTTTTCATTATCAACTTTTTTTTTGGCCTTTTTCAATTTGTTTATAACTTTTTTCACTTCTCTGCTCTTCTTCACCTTTCTAATTTTTGTTCCTTTAGTTTTCCCTTTCTCTTTTGTGGCTGAATTTTGTAAATCTGCAAAAAACAATATAAATAAGGGAAAATTCAAATCTATACTTCTATACTATTATAATAAAGCGTAAACACACTTCTTTGTTGCCTAAGATGTCAGCAATTACAGCATATTTTTGAATAATTCTTTTTTTAATAAAAAGCCCTACACTTACGTCACGCTTAAGGCTATATATTTTCACGCCATTAAACTTAGGGGGTAAATATTTTGGATAAAAACCCTAGTGTGGGAAAGCAATTTATGGTCTATAAATTGCTGCCAACATCAAGGAAGCAAAATTTCCAAGGAATTGTCATGTCATGTCATTTTGATATTTGCTATTGATAATTTGACAAATGTAAACAATAAAATATAATTTTCATAATTTCATGCGGATGAAGCCGCACGGGAACAGCTAGTACTTTATAATTAATATTATGAATGCGAAAGTTTAAATGGATGTTTGTTAGAGTTTGTAGCCTAAACTGCTGAACGGATTTCAATGAAATTTGGTATAGATGTAGAGGATAGTCTGAAACAGCAAATAGGGTACCAATTATTTTTTTGCAAATGTTTATAGGTTACAAGCTTTCGCCCGCGACTCCGTCCGGAATTAAAAGAAACAAAAGTGAATACCATATGTGTTCTTCCAGACTATCCTCTACATCTATACCAAATTTCATCGAAATCCATTCAGCTGTTTAGGCTACAAACTCTAATAAACATCCATCTAAACTTTCACATTTATATTAGTAAGATAAGATTATGTAGTTTTAAACACATTAAAAAAAAAAGTATTATAGTTTTTTTAACGCTCACTTAGAGTCTGGGGCTGAGGGTTTTAAGTGATATATTAAATCTAATTTTACCTTCATTATTGAAATGCATAAAAAAATCATCATCGAGAGTACATTCCTCATGATCTGAAAAGAAAATAAACAGTTTAAAATATAATTGAAACATCTATACTAATATTATAAATAGTAATATTTGTATTTTTGTATGTATTTGATTCACGCAAAAACTACTGAGCTGATTTTGAAAATTCTTTCACCATCAGAATGGTAATTTATCTGTGAGTAACATAGGCTACATTAACATTATTTTTTAATTTTTTTTTTTATAACAAAAGGTGGCAAACGAGCAAGCGGCCACCTGAATCCGCCAAAATGGCGAAGCGACCGCTGCTCATAGACATCCGCAATTGCAGATGCGTTGCCTACCCTTATCCGACAGAGAAGCATATGCACATAAAGAGGATATTTCCCCTACCTATGTATCTCCTCCTCTGTCAAATCCACTTTCCCTTCCCATCCTCTCCTTATAAGAAAAGGGCGGTAAAGAAAAAGGGACTTAAATTAGGCCTCCGGCACCACACTCATCAGACGAAACACGGAATTGCTTCCACTTCACGCCTGTCTTCACGCGGCCAAAGTCAGGAGCAACAGCTTGTAATATATCTAACTCAATTTTCCAGTGGTAGAGCCCGCTTTAACATCTTCACACGAATGGGCCGGCTCGCCCCCAGTAATACTTCGACCACACAGAAGACAGGCGTGAAATGGAAGCAATTCCGTGTTTCGTCTGATGAGTGTGGTGCCGTAGGCCTAATTTAAGTTCATTTCTCTTTACCACCCTTTTTTAATAAGAGGATGGGAAGGGGAAGTGAATTTGGCGGTGGAGACGCATAGGAAGGGGAAATGTCCTCTTTATGTCTCCTCCGTCAATGAAGGGTAGGCAGCGCTGCAATTGCGGATGTTTATGGGATTCGGGCCGCTTGCTCGTTTGCCATCTTATATTATAAAAAAAACATAGTATAAATAGTATAGATTAGTATGGATTTTATTTTACCTGAAAAACAATCATTCTCTTCTGTTTTCCTCGCACCATCATTATCGCAGTCCTCATGTATTCCTGGAATAAAATAAATTGATTACTGCACCAGGAATAATCTTCACCATATTACGGACAAAGCAAAGAAATTTAAATAATATATAGACAACAGTGTACAAAATTTGTTCACCGGTACTTTCTCTGAAAGGTACTATATCAGTTGTCAAGAATAGTACCTCGTGTGTATTGACATAATAAAACATATTACAAAAAAACAACCTCCATCTTATGTTACAAAGTAAACTAAACGATGTTGCAACTTAAAATATATCTAAGGGCCTCTCCCACCACTGGCTGATAGAGGCACAGATAGCTTAAAATGACGTCATGGACATAAGGGAACAAAATCCTATATTTCCATCACATTACACATTCGATTGTTATCAGACAATTTACAATTTGGTGGGACTGGCCTTGTTTTTATGGTGTTGAGGGGAAATCTTCAAAAGATACCCTGCCTTCTTGGGCTAAGGCAGGGTTATGTAGGCGGTCGCGGAAGATTGCGCAAGCGTTCCCGTGACCCAGCCACTGGCGGATAGAAGGAACACCGCTGGGTTTTTAGTGGGTATTCCGGCCATTTTCTATCTTCTTGGCCGGCGAGTCCCACATACCCCCCCTGATAACGGGGGGGATGCGTAAATGCATTTTCCCAGCAAGAAAATAAAAAGGGTTATGTAGGCTTTGACCTACTAAAACCCCCTCGGTGGCCATCCTTTAGTGACATAGACAAAGGTTCCGGGATCTTCAAGGAATATCTCACAATGGAACTGGTGGGACAGGCCTATATGGCATATATTGGGAACTAGCAGTTCCCGTGCGACTTCATCTGCATAAAATTATGAAAATGTTTTTATATTGTTTACATGTGTCAAATTCTCAATTGGAAATGTCCAAATGACATGACATGACAAACCATGGCAACCTTGCTTCCTTGATGTTGGCAGCAAATTATGGTCTCTTTCCCACATTAGGGTTTTTATCCAAAAAATTTACCCCCTAAGTTTAATGGTCTGAAAATACATAGCCTAAAGTGTAACACAAGTGTAGGGCTTTGTATTAAATAAGAATTATTCAGAAATATGCTATAATTGCTGACATCTTAGGCAACAAAGAAGTGTGTGTTTATGCTTTATTATAATAGTATATATAGTTGAATTTAATTGCAAGATAGCGTTAAGATTATGTGAAATGTAATGTCAACTCTTCTATGTATTTCTTGAAACTCTTTGGGATAATAAAAAAGGGGTAAGTGATGACTGAGATGACAGATGATAGAGTTATTTGGAGGACGAAAATCCCGTGCCCCCTGTGGGAGTAGGATAAGGTGGAGATGTTAAAATATACCTTTAATTGCATTCCTGTTGTAGTAGTCTTTGAATTTAATCTCGGCATTTTGAACCTGTCTCATAAATTCATAAGCATCCCTGAGCCGCAGCACACATGATTCACAAATGGCATATGTCATATCATTCAATGGGCCCGGGACAGAATCTATCTGAAAATACAAATTTATTAGTATTCAGGCTGAATTTCAATATAATCTATACATATAACAAAATTGGAGTGCTATTTGTAATATAAAAAAAAATCCAGATTTCCGTTTCCAGTATTAGCGTTGTTGATAACAAAAATCGCATTTAATATCTTTTTGTCTGTCTTTCCGCAAACAGCATTTAGTTGAAACGGCTGAGACGATTTCGACCAGATTTTACTGATGGGTAGCTGACATAGACGGGCATATTATAGGCTACGTTTTAACCTTAATATTGCATGTACGAAAAAGGATTTGTACTTTTGTATATATTGAAAAACTCAAAAACTACTGGGCCAATTTCAAAATCTCTAAGATATGTGGGAAATCAACTCACTCTTTTCTAGTGTGATTGACCTAGTCTTAACTTAGTTGGGTATGTTCTGAGCCCCTTGGTGAGGAAACAGGCAATAATTACAATAGCATCCTGCCCACTGTTGAACATAGGCCTTTCATAAATCGTTTACATGTTCATTGTTGTTTGCATATGGTATTTAGAGATATCATACACCATATCAGTGAATAGTATAATAACATGTATAAGAAAACATGAGGTGTATGAAATTGACTACCATTATTCCGATAATCGTTTTAATGCATGAGCTTATATCGAAGAGCTTCGACCAATATCTCAAGAAGCTCTCGCTAGACAGTTGAATTAAGAACCCGATTCAAAAGGCAGTTTGTTTAGAAACCGCACGCATAGCGAGGATGTTGCTTTCTCTGCTCTGACCACTGGTTGCTTGAGTTATCGGATTCCGCAGCCGGTGGTATTCTATTTTTTACATGGGTTTTATTTTTATTTTGATTTACATCACGTAAAATACATTATGTATTAAATAAAAAAAGATATATAAATAACTGCAGAAGAAATACTCAAATACAATCTTTTTTTGATAATAATCGTGTAATTTAGTTTTTGGATGATACATTTAAAGTTAGATTAGTTGTCGTTATAAAATGAATTATACTTACAACGATTTGAAAACATGCTTTTAACATGTTTGAATAGATTTCTGTTATCCCATTTAGTTCGCGCGGTTTTGACAAATTCTCAAAAGCACCTTCTGCGTGACAACAACGACATAATTGTTGTTCCAACTTCCAGATTTCAGACATTTTCGTTTTCGATATCAATACGCACTACAGGACGACAAGACATAATCAACAATCAACATCCATTAAAATAATAAATACACATTGGAATGACTGATGCGGCCATATTTGCTGCTTTTTTTAAGAATTGTCAAACTGTCACTGTCTCTTTGCTGTCAACTGTCAGTAATCGTACGACAGATTATATTACTGTTACCAACTAATGAAAATGTGTTTTAAAATTAAAGAAATAATTTGTCGTAAGAGAAATTACCTTAAAACAAGTTATTGTAAAATTTTGGGCACCATTATGACTTGAATATCTAACAATTTTAATTTTGGAGCGTTCGGCGCCACCTATCTAGAAAAACTATTCTTGTAAAAGTTGTATATAATAGATGGCGTTATTCGATCATTAGCAACCGAAGACAATCTGGCTGGTTATGGTCAATTCGTTGAAGGTAAAGATAGGTTGTATAAACATCAATAGATATACCGGAATCTGTTATGTTTGCAAAATACATTTTAATTATACCTAATAGTTTACAAATGCTAGTGAAATTCTTCAATTTTTACACAAATGCATGTTTAATTGTAATTTTAAGGCACTTCCAATGGTGCTACAAACTAGAAATTTAGAATTTAATTAGCGGTCTTTCTATAGATCTAGTGGCAAATCTCACAATTATAAAATTTAACACTTTCATAGAAAACATAGAGGAAACGCGACTCGCTAGTTTTTTTTATAATTTCGTTATATTCTCAATGGCATTAAAGAAAAAAAAATGTTTATTTTATAATCATTTACTACAAATAAACAAATATAATTAAAAAAACGAGTACGTTGTTTGAATATTTTAATAAAACTATACAATTAATAAAACTAAAGTACCACTGTTGGTATACAATAACGAAAAATAAATCATATTTCATACTTCATACGGATTTTTTTGCGTTAATAAGGACGCAAACAAGCACACAATGGAGTTCTAAGTTAAGATTTAAAAACTATGCGTGTTCATGCACTTTTTTATTTACATTAGCTGTTTAAATCGACCCATTAGTAATTGAATTATTTCAATACATAGAAAAATACAAATCTTTCCTCTATATAGTATTAGTATAGTTTTAACATCAACATGTCGGCTCGGATCCTACATTGACTCGACAAAGGGAGGGCTTTGCGCAGTGACCTTGTGTCTTCAATAGGAGGACACTACGCAGTGACCTTGAAGCGTCAATGGAAGGACACTGGGCAATTACCTTGAGTCGTCAATGTAAGGACACTGAGCATTGACCTTGAGGCGTCAATGGAAGGTCACTGTGTAGTGACCTTGAAACGTCAATAGAAGGACACTGCGCCGTGACCTTGAGCCACCAAAGGGAAAGCACTACACAGTGCTCCCGAGTCATCAATGGGAGGACATTTGGATTGAAATTGGCTTATGCGCGGTTTACATTTGGCCAGTACTGCTCTAAAACTACACTCTAAATAGACTGACACAGTGTGAACACTAACTGGCGCCAGTGAATCCATACAATCTATAACAGTCTAACTGCACTGGCCTATTGTGAACATGTAATCTATGAATCAGTTATTCCACTCTGATTATTCTCGAATTCCATTAATGTCAAACCATGAGTTGAAAGCATATGACTTTTTAGGCTACATTTTTGAACAAAAGCTAAATTACATAAGCGGCATTTGAACCGTCTATCATTATTATGTATTCTCATATGTTCTGTTAAAGTTTTCTTTCTAGCGTAAGCTTTATCACATAAAGCGCATTTAAAAATTTTAGCACCATCATGTGTTACCATATGCTCATTCAATAGTTGTTTGAGAAAGAAACCTTTCCCACAAACCGCACATATATGCTCCCTTTCCATTAAATGCAGTTTCTTTATATGAGCTGTTAATTTAGATTTTAATATGAACAATTTATCACAAATATTGCATTTATAATTTGATTTATTATGTACTGTAAATATATGTCTATTCCTTTGATAGTAACTTGTGAAGGATAATTCACAGTTCGGACAATTAGTTACATATCTTGCTGATGTATTGTGTGTATATTTCTCATGGCATTTTTTTTAACTAATGTATTGAAGATTTTATCGCAATGTTTACATTTATATGCACCTATTTCGTGTGTTTTCTTATGTATTTTTAACGCATAATTATTTATATATCCCATATCACATATAGTACAGACATAGTTTCTGTAATGTCCGTTCATATGATGAAGCAAGGTTTTAAATGTTTCATAAGTAGAGTTACATAAAGCACAGTTATATATATTTGATGTATCTAATTTAAATTCGTAAATACAATCGTTTATGTTCGGATAGAATTTTATATTATGTGTGTTACTTAAATGTTTTTTTAAATCTATTATATATTCCACTTGTAAATCACATAATGTACATTTCAAATCTGTTATATCTATTTTTAAAGTAAATTCACCTTTTCCTAATTTTTTTAACTTATCCTTTGTATTCTTATGTATTTCTATATAATGTGTTTGTAATTCATTCATTTCACGGTAGATATTTTTACAAAACGCACAAACTATACCCATTATCGTTTTATGAGAGAATGGTAAACAATTTGAGTATTTTAATATATTGCTGAGATTAAATTCATGTTTTTTTTTATCATACTGTAAATTCTCTTGAGCTTTTGATTTTATCTTACTTAGTGGTATTCTTCTATATGTGTCTTTACTGCAATCTGGAATAAAAAAAAAGTTTAATCAGCTATTGTTAAGAAATCAGCACATCACTAGATCATCGGTATATATGCCCCATCCCTATTACATCTGTCAATGTCAAACAGAGGTATTAGAATGCCATTATGGCGGGAATCTATAATCAGTATACTGCATTTTTACAATTTCACTAATGTCTGAAACTATTTAGAAAACATAGTGATGCCTGAAAATTTCAGGAAAGAAAATAAATACTTGAATTCCAGCAGTAAACCAGTATTAATTATAATCTAGTCACTAACAATGGCGGATCCGGGGGGGGGAGTCACGGGGGTCATGACTACCCCCTTGAGTTAGTTGGTCAAGAGCTTGACAAAATATATTTACATATTTACATACTGACAGTATACAGGGCGTCGGTGGCTCAGTGGTTTGAACACTTGACTTGTAATCTACAGGTCGTGGGTTCGAATCCCGCCGTACCAATGTGATTTACGATTTTTCGAATTTTCATATGTACATAATTTACCCGACGTTCTTACGGTGAAGGAAAACATCGTGATGCAACCTGCACATATCGGCGAAGAAATTCAAAGATATGTGTGAAGTTAACCAACCCGCACTTGGCCAGCGTGGTTGACTATGGCCTAAACACCCCATACTAGGGTAGGCTCCGAGCCCCTCGGTGGGGATGTACAGTGATCTGGTGATGATGACTGACAGTATGAATTTATAGTGAACTTTTTTAGATTTACCTTCTAGAACGAGATCTTTTCTATTCCTCTTTTCTGTCTTCTTAACTTTAACATCTTCTATACAAATCACTTTTGTAATAACCTCATCTTTAATTAATTCATCATCTAGAAATTCTTCTTTAAAATCTGTAAGACATTAAAAAGTTAAGGGCCTGTCCCACCACTGGATAGATGCTCAAATAGCTTAAAAATGATGTCACTGTCAGATAAAGGAACAAAATCCGACATTTTCATCACATTTTTTTTATAATATAAGATGGCAAACTCGCAAGCCGCCACCTGAATCCAAATGGAAAGCGCCCGCTGCACATAGACAGCCGCAATTGCAGATGCGTTGCCTACCCTTCATTGACGGAGGAGGAGACGCACATAAAAAGGACATTTCCCCTTCCTATGCATCTCCTTCACCGTCAGATCCCCTTTACCTTCCCATCCTTTCCTCTTAAGAAAAGGGTGGAAAGGGAAAGGGACTAAAATTAAGCATCCGGCAAAACACTCATCAGACGAAACGGAATTGTTTCTACTTCACGCCCGTTTTCTGTGTGGTGGTGGTATGACACCGGACGAGCCAGCCCATTCGTGCTAAGATGTTAAAAGGGGGCTCTACCACTGTTACCATATATTACATGTTAGTTTTTTATCAGACAAGTTACAATTTGGTGGGACAGGCCGTTAAACTTGTATTTGAATTACCTCAATAAAACATTAAAAAAAGGTTAACTATCTTACCAAAAACAATATCTTCATTCCCATTCTTGATATCGGAATATTCAATTTTCACTAATGTGTCATCTATTTCATCTGTAATTGATAATAATAATACATATTAGAAAACAGAAAAGATTGGCTGAAACAGGGCAACATACCACAGTATCAAAGCTCTCACAAACTATATTTTAATAAGAGTAACAGTAAAGTATTATTTATTACTAGCGTTCATCTGCAACTGCAAACCTGAAGAAAAAATTAAGTTTTCATTGATAGTTTTTTTTTTTTTAAATTTTTTAAGTTTCAATTTCGACTGATTTTGAAAAAATCAAGATTACTCGAAAATGGTTAACTTTTGGATAATGCATATAGGGGTCATAACTATCACAAATGATCCCCTCTATTACCTCCTAACGGGAATACGTCTAATTGCCAATAACCCTGTATAATAAAGCATAAACACACACTTTTTTGTTGCCTAAGATGTCAGCAATCACATGTTATTTTTGAATAACCTTTTTTTTTATTAAAAGCCTTACACTTACGTCACACACTTTAGGCTATGTATTTTCACGCCATTAAACTTAGGGGCTAAATATTTTGGATAAAAACCCTCATATGGGAAAGAGATCATAAGTTGCTGCCTACATCAAGGAAGCAAGGTTGCCATGGTTTTTCATAGTCATGTCATTTGCAATTGATAATTTGACACATGTAAACAATGAAATAAAAAAGCAGATGCATTGCCTACCCTTAATTGACAGAGGAGGAAACGCACATAAAAAGAGCATTTCCCCTTCCTATGCGTCTCAACAGAGATAATCCAGAATTAAAGAGTTTAAGCAACAAGTACAGAATGTATTATGGATATATAGTTGTAAGCAATAGAAATTGTACTGTACATCTCTTTACTATGTTTTAGTTCTTAATATCCTGCTTTGATGCATACTTAACATCTATCATTGGAATGTAGATTAAAATGTTTTTTTTTTTTATTTCTCTTTTAACAATACAAAAACAATGAAATCTAGCTTAATCTAAAAAAACGCTAAATAAACCTCAATGGTTTTTCACTAGCGTTTCAGTGGCTTGCGTACAGAAATATTGTTTCAGTTTATGCATAATGTTTTTTTGTGTTATACATTTTATTAAACCTGAGGGTAGTTCATTAACTAATCTAGGTACAATGTATGATGCCGTGCGCTCGCTGTACACATTTTTTGCGCCAATAGTATAGTACCGGCTTTCTGTTATCGCTCGAGTGCATATAGGATGTTCCTTTCTTTTAATAATTTTTTCATACCTTACATAGCTAAATCTAGCTAAATTTTTCATAGCTTACATACCTTTGATGTTTAATTTTGTAAAAGTAGTCTGAAACTTCTTCTGGCAGCGGAGGACCTGTTCCTTAAAGTCCGCAGCGTTACAGAGTTTAGAGACGCACTCATCGCATATTCCATCATCACACACACTGTTCGCCGTTGGTAACTAGAAAAGAAAATTTGTTAGATAATTTTGTACTAAAATTATGTTTATTATGAAAACGAAGATAATAATTACGTGTATTTCGAAGCATTCTTTCAGCATATCACCATAAATTTCAGCTTTTCCTAGACGAGTGTATATCGCTTTAAGTTTTTTATCAGGCGGTTGCGCCAGGCAGCATCGGCATAAGCTGCCCATGTTCATGACTTTTATTTTAACTCCAAAATTAAATAATAACTATGGATGAATTTAAGCTGTAAAGAGACAAACAATAAACATCTATTTTTCTAAATAAATATAATGCACTGTCAACGTCATTCTGTCAATCAAACTTATCAAATAGTTGACAAATAGAAAGTCTAAATGGTGTTGTACCTTTACAAAACAACTTAAAGCGTAAAAAATCGATAATGTACACACAAGCTATCGAGTTTGCTTTTCTGTATTTAAAATAAATATCTAGAAGCTATTAACAAATGATAAATAATTAAATTCATTGTTATTGTACTGAAACATGGATTACTCTTTTAAAGTTGAGCTGGTGCCAAATTATAAATCAACATTATCTTCAAGTTACTTTCATTAAAGTAATTAGGTACCAAATAAAAAGAATTTGACTTAAATTACGCATCAAGGTGCTAGCTTAATTTTAATACAGTTATCTGCCACAAATGTTTTTCATAACAAATATCGATTTTAAATCTCAAAAAATTACATTTCTGAACGCCATTATTCTACTTCAGAAAACAGAAAATGGCGGAATATCATAGCGCGGCGTCGGTCCAATTTATTTAGATTTAGTATTATATTATTAAAGTCGATAGTTTAAGATTTCCCATAGTAGGACTAACAGAATAGTGTAAATAATAAAATGGAGACTAAAGCAATTGACGGCATGTGCCGGTGTTGTGCTTCGTCAGGTATTTTCAAAGACTTGTATACGACGTTCAATTGGATGGGCGAAGACGAGATTTATGCAAATATGCTCCAATATTGTTTTGATATAACAGTAAGTAATATATAGCTATTACGATGTTATCAAAAGTCATATATTTTATATTAAAGTATTGACCAATTTGACATTTCAACAAATTCATAGTCTACACTACACTTCGTCTATTTATTTAAAAATATATTTATCTTAAAATCTCAGTCGAATTTTATCCTCAATGATATTGAAGGGAAAAGATTTTGGCTTGATTTGTGAAAAATGTAATTTAGATTTGTTGTGCTGTTCTATAGCAAATATCCATCCAAACATTCGCGTTAAAAATATATGTAAGATATTAGTAACATGAATTCCCATTTGTTATAAATGAATATGAAAATTCAGAATATTTCCATATCATAAAGTTTCACCAGTATATTTTTTCTATTTATTGCTAGATAAACAGATATTTGGTTGAACTATATGATTATTTTTTCTACAGCTATCGACCGCAGATGATCAGAACAATGGTGGTATATGTGAGGTGTGCATAACACAACTACGGAATGCTGCCAACTTTAAAAAACAAGTACAAAATACCGAGATACAGTTCAAGAGGTTGCTAGAAGAAAAGGATTTTAATAGTGAGTTGTTGTTTTAACAGTAGTGGTTTTAGTTACATTTGGAGGCTAGTGTCCATAAGTCCACTATTAGGAAGCATTCTAATTGAATAATCTACAATAGTTTGGACATTTCAATTAGGGTGCAAAACAAAATACAACACAGCTCAAAAAAAAAAAGAAAAATATAAAAAAAGACGGTTAGTGGGTTACCGTTAGTTTCTTTTTTTTAATATCCTTTTTTTAAAAACATAAACAAACCAGCGCTTGACCACGACTCCACCTACGCTAAGTGACGACGCGGCCGAAGGATAGAGCGCGCAAGCTCAGTATGTCTCCTTTGTTAGCACTCACTGTAATCTAATTAGTTATTTGTAGGAAGAGTTATTTCGCCTGTTGCAATGAACGAGGCAATTTCTCCTGAAAAGGAACATCGCGGATTTCTGCGAATTCAATCTAATGTTTTTACAGTAAAAAAAACAGTGATTCCTACACATATTGGTGAAGAAATTCAGAGATATGTGTAGAATCCTGTACTGGGCCAGCGTTTTTGGCCTAGTCATCTCTTTATGTTACCTCCAAGCTACTCAGTAGGGATGTTTACTGAACTGATAATGAATTTGTTATTTAAATCTGTTGCAGCTAAAGCGGTGAAAATAGAAATATCAGAAATGACGGATTTAATAGATGATGTAATCAATACAGATAATGAAATGTCCGATTCTGATGGAGGTTGGTAATTTATATTTTTTTATTTATTTCTATATTATAAGGTTACAAACAAGAAAGTGGCCACATTAATACGACAAACTGGCAAATCGACTGCTTCCCATGACATATTAATAGTGGATGCGTTGCCTACCTTTGATCCACAGAGGAGACGCACAATAATAGCATGTTACCTCTTCCTATACATCTTCACCATCAAATCCACATACCCTGCCCATTCTTTTCTTATAAGAAAAGGGGTGGGAAGGAAAAGCGACTAAAGGTGAGCGTCTGGCACCACACTCATCAGCCTGTATAAATTTTTTCCCGCTTCACGCCTGTTTTCTGCGTGGTTGTGGTATTGCTGGCGAGTCGACCCATTCGTGCGATGTTAAAGCGGGCTCTAGCACTGTTTTTTTATTATTTATCAAGTTAAACCAATGGGACAAAATTATGATATACACATTTTTACTTGATACAATAAGTAATGTGCAGATAATTTGTCCTAATTATATGTTTATACAACATACTTAGACAACAACAACAGTAACAACAGTACAGATATGTTTTTTTTTTTTAATTTTTTTTGAATGCAAATTGTAAAATTTTAAATAAAACCAAGTAATTTAAATGTTGATCATTTGTTGAAATAGATACATGTAAAAATGTTAACAGTTGGTTCTTTTCTATATCTTTACATACATATAGCAAAATTGTAGTGTCTGTCTGTAATATCAAAAGAAAAATTCCAGATTTCGTTAAGATGTATTGGCCTTGCTGATAACGAAAATGACATTTAAAATTATCTTGTCTGTCTATCCGCAAGCCGCGTTTGTTCCGGGTAATCTCCGATAGCTAGGCCGATTTCGATTCGACTTTCACTGAAGAATAGCTAAAAGACGGGCATATTATAGGCTATTTTTTATCTTAGTTTTGCCAGGCAACAGCTACTTAGTAATAAAAAAATGACATTTTTCTATTTAATCGACATGTGAACATCTCCCCTGCCTTATCCTACTCCTGTAGGGTAGGCGCACCGGGTTTTCGTCCTCCAAATAACTATCATCCATCATCTTAGTCATCACTTCCTTCTTGATCATGTCTCATTTCACACAATCCATCTCTTTCTAGGTCTACCTCTACCAATGTACCACATTTATAACATTGATTCATCAATTGTCATGTTGAATGTTTTTTAAAATTTATTTAACTTAACTGTACCATTTGTGTATTTCAGAGTTTACGTTAAACATAAAACAAGAAAGTCCAGAACCTAAAGCAAAGAAGAGAACGAAAGCGACAAGTTCTCGAGCAACAGATGATGATATCGGAGAGACATCAACTAAACGTAAGTGAATAGCTTAATTCATAGGTGATTGTGGTCATGTTCCTATGCAAAATACATAGATTTTATAGCTATACTATCTTATCTTACTTCTTACTAATTTTATAAATGCGAAAGTTTAGATGGATGGATGGATGTTTGTTAGCATTTGTAGCTTAAACCGCTGAATGGATTTCGATAAAATTTGGTGTAGATGTAGAGGATAGCCTGGAAGAACATATAGGCTACTCACTTTTGTTTTTTTTTTTTAATTTCACACGGACGGGCTAGCGGGCGAAAGACAGTAATGTTATAAAGATGAAATTTAACATTTCTGGATTATTGTATGTACCGAAATATTTCAAAAATTGCACATTTCTTTTAGCATGAAAAGCTGTTATCGCTGAGTAACATAGGCTACGTTTTTCAAAATTTTTAATTTTATCAACATGAACGAAATCGCGAGGAACAGCCTAGTACTTAATATAATAAAACGTAAACACTTTATGTACGATGTCAGCAATCACAGTATATTTTTGAATAATTCTTTTTTTAATAAAAAAGCCCTATACTTACGACATGTTTCCGGCTATGTATTTTCTTGCTATATACTTAGGGCAGTAAATAATTTGGAAAAAACCGTCATGTAGGAAAGTGACAAAAACTAAGTCAATAGAAGTGAACAAGCATGGTTGCCATGGCAGCGGTAATTGTTAGCCCTGGCAATGGAAAAGACCTTTGTTTTTCAAACATTAGAATTTTTGACTGACTTCCCAAAAGAAGGAGGTACTCTATTAGTTTGTATATTTTTTTTTTACAATTGCATTTGAATGGGATGTAAACAATAAAATAATATAATAACTCGTGGACAAAGCCATATAATAAAAAGTTAAAAAGTATACTAGATGTTACATGACTTTGTCCATGGAATAAAAACTATATTTTAACATCTTCAATTTCTTACAATACTTGAACATTATTTTGAGGTAAAATAGGACATAGGCTACCTATTCTAGGCTATAATCTAGCTCTGTGATAAATTTTACCCCAATCCATTAATAAATAACAAACATCCATCCATTCAAATATTTACTGTCAATATAGTGGTATATTACAAATGTTTTGTTTTGGCCTAATGTTGTTAATAATATTTTTTTAAGCATATTCTAATATTGAGTATAGTTTTTGATGTTATTTTGTGTTTTTTGATATATATTTTTAGTAATATTTCGCCTGGGAACATGATCTCTTAATCACCTTGGAAGATATAAGGAAACGCTACATTAAGTTATTAATAATTTTCATACTATTAATAATATCTATATCTTAGGGGGGGAGGCAATGATCCCGCCAAATATGGTCCATCTTTTTTTAAAATGTGTTAGTTTTGTAATAATTCAGTTTTTCTTATGAAAGTTTGTTAAAAATGTGGTCTTTCCTAATGTTTTTCGTGTAATTTATGTTTTTAAAGATTTGTATAGACATGTTGCAAAATCATATAGGATAGAGAAATGCAAAATAAAGAAATCTAGGATATTTCATTCTAGAAATATTATTTTGCAACACTGTCTTTTTTGTTTCTTATAAATTATGAAAATTGATTCTTTCCTCTCTATTAGAACATTTTATAAAAATATTTCTTTAACAATGAACTTGATGAAACTTGAACCAAAATCATGCGTATTCCAAATAACACTTTTACGTAATCTTTTTATCGAATAATTATTTGCATCTCCAAGGGTGTTCGGGAGGGGCAGCTGACACCCCCTAGATAATTGAAAAAGGACTACTTTGTCCAAAACCAACTTAATGGTATCTCCCCCCTAGGGGCCTAGACCTATTCTAGAATATCTACTAATTGCACACAATACAAGAAATATACCAGATTCCTACTAAAATATACTAGTGAAAAATGTAATGCAAAGGGGCCAAATGTATACCCTTGTGGTACACCATTCAAGAATTACGGTTTTTAGTAGTTTTCTATTTAAAATGCAACAAAAGCGTACAATTTATGTTCTGGGTGATTTGAAGTGAAGTATTTATGAAGAATTTAGAATGGATTTAATGGATTTTGGGTACATTTTATATAGGTAAGTAGTTTATAATCATGGTCCATTTTATCAAACGCTATAATTAAATCGATGGCATATCTTTATTTTGTTACGTTTATAAGCAATTTTTCTTATTTTATTTTGAATCTATTGTCGTTAGTAGCTTTAAAACGTGATTTAATTCACTTTGAATACAAAGTACAGTTGAGGAAACTATCGGTGTTCCTCTTCAAACAACTTTGAACACCGCGGATCGCCGCGACTGTACCAACGTACGTTTTTTTTCTACAACGCAAGAATTTAGTAAATTTACACCTGAGTGAAGTGCTAATAGTCAAGTGGTTAGGGATAAGGAACTACTCTTACGTTATTGGTTCCAAATATTATTGAGTTTTGTCGTAAAGTTGGTATTTTTAGACAACTTATTTAATTGATACTGTCGCTTTAAACTCAGAGCAACACTTCTCGTCAGGACTCAGGATGCGCGCCAATCTATCCATACTTCTAGTGACATTGACAGCTGTCAGCTAGTGACGTGACGTTTATGCCGATAATCTAGAGTTGCGCCAACTCTACAGCACGGTACTTATTTTGTTCTTAACGGTATATTGAGATTATTTTGTATTTTTCCAAAAATTTTAGTATATAATCTACGAAATGCGTAATAGTTTACGATACTGATTTTTTTTTATTAACTACAGTGGATGAAATATAAAAACCAAGGGCCCTTTCAAATACATTTTTACAGCTTAAACATACGTCAATTCTTTTATACCGAGACTGTAGGCGGAATTTTAACAAATTTTCTTTCACCATTGTAAGCTACGTTTTCACTGAGTAATACGGACTATATTCTTTATTTTTTTTAAATTCAACTCAGATGAAGTCGCAAGCAACAGCTAGTAAATAATGTACTTACCCAATGCAGTTATATTTACGGTGAAACAAACACGCTACGTCACAGTTTACAGTTTAAAACAGGAAGTGTACTCATAATCCATAACTATGGCGATTTCTACGCAAATTAGTGATGTAACTCGCTCTGTCCAATAACGAAGACTGGAGTACAGATAACAATAAGAAGAGGGAGATATTAATGAGGGGAGCCTACCCTAATAATGGGTGATTAGGCCATAATCAACCACTACACTGCAGGTTGACTTCCCAATCTTTGAATTTCTTCGCCGATGTCCATCATGATGTTTTCAAGAAGAGAATAGATGGAGATAATTGAGTTGTGCTCCTTTCTTGTTATAGGCACGGATGGCGAACCTCCAAAACGCAGAAAGAGGACAAAGAAAGCTACAGAAAGCGCAACACCGGAGCGAATCGAACATAGAGTTAACTTAACAGCGATACTACAACATTCCAACGCGAGTCCGTTCCGGGATAAAACGATGAGGGGATTCTCCTGTCTGTACTGCGCTAAGTACTTCCAGCGTATAGAAGATCTACGTATACATACAGCACAACAAACTGAAAAAGACAAAATTAATACAATGATCGACTACAAACTAAGTTACAATCCAATCAAATTAGATATAACAGATCTAAGTTGTACACTTTGTGGTACAAATATGAGAGATCTCAATGAATTAAGGGAACATTTAAGTAATGTGCATAATAAAATTATATATAAAAATATAAAGGATATCATACTCCCTTTCCGTTTGGAGAATGGACAGAATTTCACATGCGTTATATGTTCTGTTGTACATATATCTTTTAAGAATTTATACCATCATATGAGTAGTCATTACAGGAATTATTGCTGTAAGAAATGCGGTGCGGGATATATAACTATAGCTGCGTTAAGGAAACACGGTAAAACACATTATCAAGGCAATTTTCCTTGCGATTATTGTGATAAAACATATACGTCGTTAACGAAGAAACGTAATCACGAGAAAGGTGTTCATACTGGCGGTTGGTTGAGGAACAAATGTCCACATTGTACAGAAATATTCGTCAGCTATTATGATAGAAGTGAACATTTAGTTAAAGTGCATAACGAGACACCGGTAGTTTATCCATGTAATGCATGTAATAGAACGTATAAGAAGAAATTTGAATTAAATCGTCATATAAAACATCATCATTTGCAACAGAAGAATTATTTATGTGACAAATGTAATGCGAAGTTTTTCTCTAAACGTGGCCTAGTTGACCATATGTTGAGGCATACTGGGGCGGAATTGTGCGCTTGTGATGTTTGTGGTAGATCTTTTTCGAGAGCTAGGACTTTGAGAGAGCATATGCGGACGCATGATGACGATAAGAAGTTCCAATGCGAAGTTTGTAAGAAGACTTTTATGCAGAAATGCAGTTTGAAAAGCCATGTCCGTCTACATCAAGACGATCTCGATATATTCAAAGAATTTGACGATGTTAAACATTTAATAGACAATAGAGAATTGACGTTGAAACAGATTGCTGCTGAGAATAAGAAGAAAGAAGAAGCGCAGAAGATTATAGAGCAGTTGTCGTAGTTTTAGAAGTTTAAATGCCACCGGTTGGTTTTTAATTCCGACAATTAACGGATTTAGACTTTTTATTAGACAATGACTCATAGAAGTATCTTTTTTTAATAATTTCTCTTGCATTTGTAATCTGTCGAAAACATCGTTAAATCATAAAGAGGTAATTTGCTTGTGTTGAAAAAGTGAAATTCATGTCGAAGTGGTAGGTTTATTGTATTGAATGGTTTTGGTTAAGAAATCTTGAAAAAAAAGCATTTTGCCTTTAATACAAATGTAATACTGTGATTCCGTTCACTTATAATTAATATTAAAATTGATTAATACAGACGTTGGAAATCGATCTATTTATAGGTGTTATGCAGTGATAAAATTTTAATTACGTCGTCCCAATGACCTCTATAAATGGACAGGCTATTCCGTGTTTGATTACTCCCATTTTGGCGCTGATGGTATAGTTTGTCTAAATAAGATAGATTAGTTTGACAATTCATGTGACAATTTAGTTGGGTTCTTGGGAATCTTTTCGATTTTCGATTTTTATTCTTATGGAAGTTGAAATCTATAGCTTCATAGTTATAATTTGTGAAGTAAAAAAAAAACTTTTCTCAAATTAATAATGAACTGTAGAACCATTACAAATAATGAGAGTAAATATTTTTTATTACAAACAGATGTACGTTATCGAATTGGTTTTCGCTATTATTATTGTCATCGCTAAATTCTCTACACTACAATCAATACTAAAATTGTCCTATAAATTAGTTAATAAGAAAATAATAATTTTAGTCGGGTTCGATAGTTATTTAAACCGAATATCGATAGTTCATAATTGTTCGCTGCGTGTTTCGTCACTACGATACCTGTCTATTAAGTACATTTGCCTTCATACAAATTGAATTCGATACTTCATATGCGTCATTTATCAAACTAATCTATCTTATTTAGACAAACTATAGAAAAATATGTCAAAACATCAAAGGAATGAATACGTATCTCTTCGTATAGTAATAGTAATTTTCAGTCAGCGATAATCGAAATTTACTTAGTCTATGAAGGCTGTCCATATAGATTACAGTATCGGCCATACAGTGTACAAGTGTTTTGATTTTCGTAAAAGATAGCAATAGTTACGAAAAAGCTACTTAAGTCGAGTTTTAAGTTCCGTATTAAAATGAATAAAAATAGTCTACGAAGTTATACTTTTGTAAACTAGATGGCGCTGTGACAAATTGAAAACGCGCTGTTGATATTTTAAAATGAAATGGGTGCTTACCAAGATATAAAAAGAAAGAGATAAATCTTTGGCAGAAGAGGATAACCATAGTTGTCAATATCTTGTCTCTTAAATACTATCTTTATAAACCGAGCACTCAAATGCATAGTGTCACAAAGTTATTTGGCCCGGTGATGCGTTGATATTGTGGTTTTGTCAGTAACAATGTAGAATTTTAACTAATCGGACAAAAATGTATAAAACTAGACATAACTGTGAGAGAACATGACTAGTTTAGTTCCACTTTTGTCTATCAGGTATTTCTAAACCAATACGACTTAGGGTACGTCAAGAAGCGAATTCCTCTGGTGTTGCGAATGTCCATGGGCGTCGTTGGCCACCTTTGTGTTCCCGCCGCGCATTGCCACCTTCTCTTATAAAAAAAATAAGGATGTATGAATTTGACACATACTTGTACCAACAAAGTTATTTGACCCGTTGGGTAAAAGCAAAACTAAATAATGAAACTTCACTAGCGTCCTGTTAACGTCATAACATCCTTGGACTATTTTCTATGTAAGTGCATATTTTTAACTAGATCCAATCACCATATTAGCTCTTCCAAGGATTCAGCTTTGGCGCCAAGGGGGGGGGGGTCACATAGTCGTGGTCAAGTCAAGAGCTTGACAAAATATGTAAATATATTTTGTCAAGCTTTTAACCAACCAGCTCAGAGGGGGGGGGGTTTATGACCCCCATGACCCCTCGTTGAGCTCTTCACCGGGTCAGATATCTTTGTTAGACTAGTCATTGTAAACCCAGTGTCGAAATATTTGCTGATAGAATATAACATTATGTACAAATGGAATCTTATATATTATACATTTTTACCAGTGGATTTTGTTTTTTTTTAGTGTTTTTTATACCTAAGTGTTGCAATCTATGTCGTTGGTTCGCCATCTTTGATCTAAGTTTGAAAGTATTTTGTATTTATGCAAATAAGAATTTATTTGTGATTGTAATTGTAGTTCAGTTTAATAATACGACGGCCTGAAAAACGTTGATTTTTCTTTTATAGGCCGCGCGGAGAGAAAGACCCGAAGGCGGGTGAAGGATGAAGTTAAAACTACCCAACGTGAAAAATATATATCGGAAATGCAAAAACAATGGCATAATTTGACTACTTTGTTAAAATATTCAAACGCAACACCTTTTAAAGATAGGAATGATGCTGGATATATTTGTGCTTATTGTTTCAAAACTTATCCAGACCCAGAAGTGTTAAGAAATCATACGCAATACGAACATGTGAAAGAGAAACCGACGTACAAAGCTGGGTCTGGGATGAGTAGTTTTGTTGCATTTTTGGATGTGGTTAATCTAAAATGTACTCTCTGTGACACAATAATGGATGATTTAAAAACACTCACAGACCATTTAATAACAACTCACGATGTCAAATATTATGGCGGGTTAACCGATTACTTTCAACAATTCAAGTTAACGAATGGAAATCAGATAAAATGCTGCCTTTGTAATGAAGTATACCATAATATGAAATTATTAATGCAACACATGAATGTTCATTACAGGAATTTTATATGTACAATATGTGGTGCTGGTTTCGTAAATAGTTTTAGATTGATAAGACATGAGACGACACATGTTAAGAAGAAATCCAGTTTCCCTTGTAGACAGTGTGGTGAAGTGTTTGCTGCTGAATCTAAGAAGAAAGCTCACGTTAATACCGAACATAAGGGTATAGCTGGTGATAGTGTCTGTCAGATATGTAAAGCACGGTTTAAAAATTATTATCAAAAGACGAGACATATGATGCAAGTTCATAATGTTGAAGGGATTAAATGTGAAGTCTGTGATAAGACATTTAATCTTAAATCTAATTTGATGCTTCATATGAGAAGTGTACATTTAAAAGAACGACCATATGAATGTTCGGAGTGCAATATGGGGTTCTTTATAAAGCGACATATGATGGGACATTATTTAGCAACGCATACAAATGAGAGGAAATTCAAATGTGATGTGTGCGGGAAAGCGTATGCGACACAGAATAGTAAGAGAAAGCATATGAAGAAGAATCATGGAATGTCTAATAATAATGTTACTAACTTGTCTAAATGAATTAACTACTTACTAGTACTTAGTTTTTTTATATTATAAGTAGGCAAACAAGCAAGCGGCAACCTGAATCCACTGAAATGGAAAGCGACCGCTGCACATAAACATCCGCAATTGCAGCGTTGCCTACCCTTCATTGACGGAGGAGACGCACATAAAGAGGACATTTCCTCTTCCTATGCGGTCTCCACCGTCAAAACCAATTTTCCTTCCCATCTTTTCCTCTTAAGAAAAGGGTGGAAAGGGACTAAGTACATTAAATCAGTCTTTTCACTGGCGCTCAGTGGAAATAGCCACTTAATATTTGTATATCGTGATATTTTAGTGTATTATAAATGTGATATTTAATATGGAATTTCATTTAATACCTTTTTAAATTCAAAACAATATTTTTGATCGTAGGAATTTCGTTACGGAAACAGCAAATTTTGATATTAATCGCTAAGATTATTTTAAAATCTATTATAATAATGGTAATTTATATATTCAGCACCTATGTCCCAAAAAGTTTAGACTCCCCAAGTGGTACCTAGACTATAGCCTAAACAAGAAGGCCTACTGCGTGTTAACTTCATATTTTTGAATTTCTTACCAGATTAACTTATTAAAACTTTCGTGAGACATACTATATAATTTATAACACGGCTAAACTCACGTGGGAACTTTTGGTATAGGCGCCGATCAGTTTCAGACTCATCGGGGATCCTTCTTCGGAGTGAGTGGTTACCGGCTTTATTTGCTAGCGCGCCGCGACGGTCACTCACCGAGAAGGACCCCCGACGGGTCTGAAACTGGTCGGTGCACCGAATGTTCCCACGTGAGTTTAGCCGTGTTATAAATTATATTCTTTCCATTTGGAACATTTGTTTTCACGATGTTTTCCTTCAAAGTATAAATATACATATTGAATTATAAAAAAAAAAACATTAGTACATGGGAATCGGTGGCTCAACCGATAAGTCACTGATGTTTGAAAAAATAATAATTTATTGCGATTTAGATAAATAACGTTAAAAAACAATGCAAATTGAATCTAAGAATAACGAAGAGATCAAAGTGAATAATATGTGATTTTCTCTTGTAGGAAGACTACGTACCCTGAGAAAGATCAAATCAGAATCTACCGAAAAAAATATAGATAAAAGCAAGGGTCGTGAGTTAATGAAACACAGAAATAATATCAGAGAGATATTGAAATGTTCGAATGCAACTCCTATACGGTGTCATGTGGGGATCGGGTATGCTTGTGTCTTCTGTGAGAAACAGTATCCAAACCCTAAAGATCTCAAGAAACACACGATTGAGGAACATGCCTCGAAAACCAAACGATTCATGGAAGGGAAACAGATGTTTTCGTATATCGTGAAACTTGATATAACCTCATTACAATGTAACCTTTGTGCTACCAATATAAATACATTAGAAGTACTAATCGACCATTTAATTAATGTACATAAAAGAAAATTTTATACTGATATAAAAAATCATATACTACCCTTCAAATTTGATGATGACGCAATACTCAAATGCGTTTATTGTGTTAGTTTGTTCAACAAATTCAAGGCGTTACTGGAGCATATGAATATACATTATAGAAATTACATCTGCGACGTTTGTGATGTAGGATTTGTGAATAGAAGTATGTTATTGAATCATTCAGAAGCACACAAAAAGGGTACTTTCAAATGTGATTACTGTGATAAAGTCTACGATACGCAACGTAAGAAGAAATCACATGAGAAATCTGTTCACATACATCTGAATATGTTGAACAGATGCGGTTATTGTAAAGAGAAATTCAACACTTACGGTCGGAAGTTGGAT